AAAAGTTGGCAAATTTACATTTAGCAGGTATTGACATTTAAAATCTATCCTTTCTTACGAGAAAATGGACCAAAACTATTGATGTCTCGTTGCATTAATAGGTTTGTCCAAATTAATGTTCTATTAAATGCTCACTAAATTAAGATACTCCCCTTCATACCATCTACCTCTGACTAGCAATAACAAGTAAATTATTGGCTAATTTAAATAAAATAAACAGGACAATCCCTATGATTTGTCCCACCCCAACTTCAAGAAATATGTCAACAATTGGACAGGATTTTTATCTAACAGGACAAAGCAGAGACAAAATCATGGGGAAAAAAACTAAAATACTGTATGCTGCAATCTTTATCTGCTGTGGTTCTTGGTGGCAGTGTACAGGATTATGTTTAATGAGACATACGCCGAGATGAAGAAACCAACTGGTGAGTGGAAGACGGTGTTGGGCGGCATCTTTTTCTTCATTGGGTTCACTGGCCTGGTTGTTCTCTGGCAAAGGTACTATGGTAAGGGATCGTCTTACATTTTTGTTTTTTAATTCAGTGATTTATGTCTGAATTAAAATAGGTGAATCTTCTGTGCTCTCTCAGTGTATCCCCCTCATCCTCGTACCCTTGATGATGAATGGCAGGCTATGCAGGTGAAGCGGATGCTGGACATGCGGGTGAACCCTGTGGAGGGTTTTTCAGCCAAATGGGACTATGAGAAGGGCCAGTGGAAATAGATGAAGGGAAATGCAGCTGTGAGCAACACGTCAAAGCCTTGCTACTTATCTGCAATTCTCCTTTGGCAGTCTTCATGCATTACTATGCCGTCCTTTATGTGAACATTTGAAAATTATCCAATGGGCAACCATGTAAAATTTGAACAAGAGAGAAAATGTCCACAACACTGAATGAATCACAAGTGTTCCCTCTTGACTGATGGAAGTAAAACTTGAAATAACATCTTGTGTATCGTTGTATTCATTCAACACACATAATAGCCACAAGCGATGACTTGTGAATTCAGATGGGTTTTTATTTCATTTAAATTATATCAGACATTTAAAAAAGTCCTAAGACATAAAACAATTATTCAGGGGTGAAGCTGTTTAAATAAACCCAAAACATTAAAAAAATAGTTTTCTTTTTTGTCCTCTTGTTTAGGATAAGTTGGCTAAATATAAACACAACAAGAAACAAATACACGTCAAAAGAAATTATAATGGGAGTTTAAGGCCATAGGAAGGAACAATATGCATTTACACCAAATATCATAAATAATTTTCAAATTATCAAATGCCTTAAATATTTTCACTAAGCTATGATGAGCTAGTCTAATAGTCATTTAAGTTAACTAGTTTAGTGTTATACATAGTGTCGTGCCAATGCTGGTACATTTCACTCTTAAGCATACTGTCAAACTCAGTAACCACACAGCATCTCTCTCAAACACACACACACACACACACACACACACACACACACACACACTCTGCAACATGACAAACAGACACAGACGAAGCATGCAAGCAGCAAATTTCATAACACGGAATGTATTGTGTGAAATCAGTGTCTACAGAGCAGCAAAAAGTGTAAATGTCGGCAATTTGAATCTGCGGAGACTCACCAACTATAATTTGTACATGGTTATTAAACACTTCACTCGCAACTTAGAAGTTTAAAAGGGGGTTATTGGATTGAATGTCAAAATTGTCAGATTTCTTCATTTCAAACTTGAAGTCAACATGAAACTAAATTTACAACCCATTTTACTTGCGCAATGTGATGTAGGCCTACCTCTGAATGAACTTGGAATCATGACAGTTGAAATAAGTAACCATCCCATCCGGATTGTAACGACTTTCAAATGTATTGTTATTGCAGTGTGTTTTTATTACATTAACTGCATTAAATCATTAAACTATTAGCAATATTTCAGAAAGGCTGCATTTAAGAAAAGAGAAAGCGAAGCACGTTATAGCCTACTATATCATTGGAAGATTAAAAGATTTTTTCCTGTTTGGATTTACACAGATTGATGAATCGTTAACAATAAAATGTAGTAGTTAATGGGGTACATTTTGATTCGATGTTGACTTTAAGACAAAACACTCGAGCTCTGGGAATTTAATTTCATAGTTCTTCCGAGAGCGGATCAGGGAGTAGTCTAAAAATCTTTATTCCAGACCTGCTTAACGATCCGCGGCACACTAGACGTCTCTTTTCTGGGTTAGGTCTCAAAGGATGCTACGCTTATGATTGGTATGTTTTGATTGACACCAAAAGATCTCAGCTTCCCCATGAGATCTCCAACTGGGGTTGAAGGCTTGAAACACACCTGTACCACCATAGCTTTCATCGCTTCTGTTTGAATTAACCCGCTCGTCAATCATTACAACTCAGAAAAGGCGAAGAATATTCAACTTGACGTCCTATTTGAATTAATGATGGTTTGAAGCCTAAAGATCATTTCTCCACTTCTCCGGGCGCTTTAACGAGTTTGACACGAGCTGAGCGTAAAGCAGCAGGTGCGCACGCGGACTGACATTCGCGCTTAACCGCTCTAACAGCAAAGCGTTTAAAATGAGAATCGGCAGGAATCAGGAGCTGTGAGGAGACGGAGAGATTTATCCCAACTATTCTGAGGTTTGCTTTCAAAAGCATGAAGAATTGTAATTTGAAGAAGAAAAATGTGTTACAAAAAATAATTTCAGTCAAACACTAAGGTTTTAGTTTTTTTGCAGCAGCACCATGATGTTATCTGACCTAACGTTACCTAATATATGTCTGTCAGCCAGGATTCAAAACATCGTGGACCATTACACGGTAAGGGTCAACTCAACAAATCAAAGAATGCTCAAATATCTGTGTTGAAGCAACATTTACACTTGGAAATGTGAATGCTAAGAGACCAAATGTGAGATTAGCATTTTAGCTTGGCTCTGTAAAGTTAAGTGTGCTGCAAGTCTTAAACTTCTGCTTACTAACAAAACAACTGCAAATGACATTTCATACGGAAGTGAAACAAAAACTCAATGACTAGTATTAGCTTGTCACAAATGCTAGACCAGGGGCCGGTTGCATAAACATAGCCACTATGTTAAGACTGTTCATGCATGCGATGGCACCGCAGACGGCAGCCTCAGTGGTTGGCTCTCCAGTGTTTGTACTGTTTTTGTTAGTTTTTCCTGTTTTTTTGATCAAGCGCTTCAGGACGCGCAGACGGGGGAAGCGAGCCGGAGTGCTCGTGAAGCTCAGGAAGCGCAGATTCAGAACGCCGTTGCCGAGCATCCATATGGCGAATCTCCGCTCCCTACCCAACAAAACGGACGAACTTCTGCTCTCCCGGAAAAATAAGGATTTTTCACACTCTTCTGCTCTGTGTTTCACGGAAACCTGGCTGAATGACGCCATTCCGGACAGCGCGTTGAGTCTCACGGGCTTTCAGCTGTTTAGAGCAGATCGCGATGCAGAATCAACGGGAAATCGCGCGGCAGCGGCACATGTTACTGGAAGCTTGTGACACTATAACAAATTCCTTGTATGTGCAAACATACTTGGCAATAAAGCTCTTTCTTTCTGTGTCTTAAGAACTAATGACCAACTAGCAGTTAGCTAAGAGATAATCAGCATAGTTTTTACTTACAAATATATATATATATATAACATATAATGCAATGTTAAACCATTTAAGCTTTTCATTGTACATGGTAAAGTAACTTTTTGATGTAGCATTTACTACATATATTTTACACTGTTTAAATGTGCATTTAATCATTTAAAAAACTATTTAAAAAAATTGAAATAATGAGTTTTGAATATTATATAGGATTAATAATAAAATGTACTACCACTCAATTTAACTTTTTTCTGATCTGGTTTGTCCACTGAACCTTTTATTCCAGTGACATTTTCAATCCTGGGGCCAGTTGCATAAAGACTGTGTCTTAAGAGCTAGTTTGACCAATTAGCAGTTAGCCAAGAGATAATCAGTCTCACTTTTCTGATTAAAATTGGGCCAATCTACGTTTTTGTAACATAAACAGTTATGACCAGTCTAGAAGAAAACGGCTAACTTTTTAAGACTAGTCTAAGCAGTTTATGCAACATGCCCCAGTATTCTAGTTAGATCCTCATTCTCAAGACTATACAAGACACCGAGCGCTCTTGTGGCAATATGGTTAAATCTAATTTCTTTCTGCTGTTTTCTGATACATTTTCTGTGTACACAGTGAAAGGTAGCCACACATACATCAGGAGTGACCTGCTCACTTCTTGTGTGTCCGTGTCTCCTCTAGCTCTAGTTACAACAATCTCAAAGGTATAAAGAGTTTCATCTGAAGCTGAAGTTAGGTTTAATAAATCAAACATCAAACTGCAATGAACATACAGAACTTTCTTTCACAACAAAACAATTTCTCATAACTGTTGGTCCTTTAATTTAGATGCTCCAGAGGATTTCAAACCTGTCCATGCAGGTAGTCACACACATTTAACCCTCATCAAATTTGCATGGGAAAAAAGAACAGAACAATAATTGGGGGAAAACACACACACACACACACACACACAGACATGTTTCATCTGTTCTCCACACTGTCCTCTAATGATAGAGAGATCACAGAGGAAGCAGGCCCTCAAATGTAGTGCCGGGCCCAAAAAGGTGCCTCTCTGTTCTCGAGCTGATATCTGGCACTCCAGACAGCAACAACTTTCCTTAGAAATGTCAGTGCCGACTTAATGACTGCATGCTTCTGATTCAGTTTGGATTCAACTTCTCTCTCATTGGGTCATTAACTCAAGAATCACAAATTAGCTTAAATTAGATTCAAAGATAAAATGTTTGTATCCTTGTCAGTTTTGCCAGTCTCTTTGAAAACGAGAGAATAATAAGGATACTTAAAAAGACTGATGATAAAGCTGAAAATGATTATTTATAACAACAAAAAATAATAATTACAGACACAAAGAATGAAGGTTTGGTCAAATGTTCTTCTTTTTTAGTCATTTTTCCTAGACTTTTTTTTTGTCATTTTTCTCATTTTGTTAAACAGGGTTTAAGGAGAGATGGGTTAGCTTGATCCTAGTCAGCTAAAAAGCAAAGCACCCTCATGCAGTCTGGATCATGTGATATCACATCACAGATGCGCTCCACTCAGTCAACAGTACACGGTGGGATGTGGGATGTAAACATGACATTTCTTGGCAATAAAAGGGAAACAAATAAATCCGAAACAAATGTATTTTTGAAGTTCCTTCATGTTAGCAGGAGGTCTAAATGAAGCAGTGGGTGTATTTGGATTTTCAGTTATCCTGATCCTCACAGGCGTTTCTGTGCAATGAGTGACCCGCCCACGACCCCCGTGAGCAAGGTCATTCCCGCCAGCAACCACTTCTTGAAGTTTTCTTGTGATTTTCTGCTCTCTGCCGCTGCATCTTTTCCAAAGATCTCTGCGAAGCGTTCCTGCACACACACACACACACACACACACAC